ATATCTCTAGGGTCGAGAATTATTTCTGGTACAATGGAAAGGGTATTCGAAAGACACGTAGGTTACTAATGATTTTTTGAATTCAAGCTATATTGATTGCCGATGTGTTACTTTCTACATAAATCATTCTTTTAGTTGGGAACCCCGGGAGAACCTCGACAGCTGCCCTGAACTCTTGGAAAAATTTTTCCAAATGGCCCAGGAAACAGAACTCATTCCCCAAGTCAATGTAAACACTTGTAAAAATTACGAAAACATCTGGAGGATTGGCCCTGAAGAGAAAAGATTATTTTTGGAAAATTATAAAATGGGACAAATGTTTAACGAGGACGTGTACAACAAGCTAATACTCAAGAAATGCGGAGAAAGAGAAAGAAGAATGAATTATAGTGGTAAAGATAGTTTCGCGGAAGATTATAAGATTGAGGATGTACCATTGAGAGTAGATAAGGAGAAAAGAAGGTGAAGTCTGCAAACATCAGAGATGAATCGATAAGATTCGATTTAATTTACCATTTGCACTTTCTATAACGCTGCAGTTGCCGTATACATTAATGGCATATGTTTTTTTTTTTTGAAATAAAAATTCTGTTCAATCAACTTTAAAAATATAATATCTAGCCGTGCTATCATGCTTCAGTATGAATCCAGATATGATTATATTGCTATTTTTTCTTAAGGCAATTCTTATTGCAAAAATTTACGAAAATAAATCCTTTCGCACCATTTTCAAATGAAACTTCCATTACCTGAACAATTTGATAAAAATGTGCTAGCAACTAATAAAGAATATCAATTAAATTCGCGTCTTTCTCATCAAATTATTAAGTACAGGAATTATTTGATTTGTTTATTTTATTATGATCAAATATATGATCGAATTTTTCAACTTAAATAATTTATCGATATTTAAGAAAACAGATAGAATTCTGCTTAATTTATTTTCAAGATCAATTATTCGTCATGATTCACGCGTGGAATACGAAAAACCCTTATTTCATTTGTTGAGGACTGACAAAAATGATCGCACATTTGGACAATCCGAAGAAGCGATCGATGGGTGGTTCTTTATCAACAATAAAGATATTAAAAATTGTTGCATTAATATCAAAATATTTAACTATGCCTGTAATTCATGTACCAAGTTTACTTTCAAATGCAGGATACATTTAACAGCAAAACGAATAATCGAATATGCAGCAAGCACTATCTATAAAATATTTTTACGTGTTTTTATAACTATGACCTTCACTAGTATTAATACAAAAAGAGGAATTCTTCTTGAATTTCGAAGAATTCCAACTTGATTGAATCCGGAAAATTACAACGTTAGATGATTTGTTATGATACATATAACCCAGCGAAATGTTATAAATTTAGCACGTTTATGAAAAGGAAATAATTATTTGACATTTCATAAATTCGATGTGGGATATCTCCATATACTGTATAGTTCGTTTGTCTCCAATGCAAAGTGCCAAGCCTTCAATAATTAAACTTTAAAATAATGCAAATGTTGAAATGCAATTGCATTCAACTTACAGCATGCTGTAAGAAAATGATTATATTATTATTATATGCAAACAAAATAATTAAACTAGAGTGATAAGTTTCTATTATTATTAGTTTTAGTTTTTTCTTAATAGTTATTATATTACAATATATTAGGTTAATACAAGCGGTCAAAACATTTTATTTACTTGAAATTATCTATTCGAACAAACTGAATAGCTATTACTGTAAATAACATTTTTCTTGAATATCAGCTTATTTTTACAGTCTACTGACTTTTTTATATTTTTGCTTTTATGAAGATTTAAAGCAACTATTTTTTATTTGTTTTTAGTATTAAGTAATTTTTAAATTTGACATAATTAAAAACAAAAGATAATTAAATTTTTTTTAAAAAAAATAAATTAATTAGAAAAAAAGAAAAGAAACAGGATTTCATATAAATTATTAAAAGAGATTTTTAAATTAAAAAAAAAAAATTTTTTTTTATAATTTAAATAGTTTTATCATTGTATTTTTTAAAAATAAAAAACAAGAAATAAATTTATTTATTTATTTATTTAAAAAGGCAATATTTTACTTTTTAAAATTGTTTTTGTTAAAATATACAGTATGTAAATAAATTTAAATATTTGTTAAAAATTAACAATTAAAAAAATTTTTTTAACTTTGTAATTTTTTTAAAAAATATATTATATGTTGTATCAATTTTCTACTTTGCTATGCCATACACCATGTAACTAAAATACTTTAGGATATGCCAAAATATATAGGAATATTCCAGAATATTATAAAATGTGCCAAAATCTTTCAAACCTTCCAAAACATTATAAAACATTTCAGAGTATTATTAATTATTTCTTATTATTAATTATACTTATTATATTTATATTTATTTAAAAAAATATATTAATAATATTAAGTATATATAATATTTATAATATTATTTTTTTTATATTAAAAAGACATTAAATACAAACTTTATTGATATATTTAAAATATAAATATTATATCAAATATCTTTGTAATTTATTTTTTGCAAAAATAAATTAATATTAATCTATTAATAATACTAATTATATATATTTAATATACTTCAAATTTATTTTAATGCTAAATATTTAATGCTTTTTTAAAATTAATATGTTTAAATAAGATTTAAATAAAATACTTATATATAATGATTGTGAACTTTTATTAATATAATTTATTAAAGAAAAAAACTATTGTTTAATAAAAATTAGCTTAATATATTTAAACATATTTGTTTTATTTAATATAAACTTTTTTTATTTTATATCTATTTTTATAAAAATAATATATATTTTTTTTTTACTTTTAATCAGATTACAAGTTATTATAATAAAAATAGTAATTATTATTAATGTTGATATTTATATTAGATTATAGATTAGCTTCAAATTAAAATTAATTGACTTAATTTAATTATTTTTTGAAAAGTTTGCTTTTAAGTTAATATGTCTATTGGAAAGTTTATACAGTTTAGATTTTTTGTTAAAAATTTAATTTATTTATTTAATTAAAATTGGTTGATAGATTTATATTGTTTTTAAATATTAATTTAAAGTTTTTTTTAATTTTGTAATTTATTTCATTATATATTGAAATAATTTTATAGTATTTAAAAATATATTATTGTATTTTAAAAGCTATTAAACATTTGAAATATAATATTTATTATATTATTATTTATCTTTTTTATTTTATATTTATAATATATAAACCTTTTAAAAAAATTAATAAAAACATATATTAATAATATATATTTTTATTTATATATTTTTATAAATTATTTATATAACAAAAAATAATTATAAAAGAAAATCTTTTTATATTTATAAAATTTGAACTTATATTTTGTTTTTGAATTAATAAAATATTAATATTTTTTTTTGTAATTTTTTTATACTAAATTATAAGTTTATTGTTTAAACTGTTTTAATATATTTAAACTCTTATATATTATATATTATATACTATATATATTAATTTATAATATTAAAAAACAAATATATTATAAAAAAAAACTATTTTTACCAATCCCTTTATCAATCCCCCAAAAACAAATGTTTTTAAAAATATTCTTTATTTTTGATAATAAAGTTTATATACTTTTCTTAATATTTTACTTTTTAAAAGTTGGTGTTTTCTTTCTTGTTTATTTTTTTTCTTTAATAAACTTTGTATATTATAATAACAAAATAAACAAAACTTTATTTATTTAATTTATAGTAAAAATATTTTATTAAAAAAAGAAAATTGTTAAAAAACATCCTTTACAATATTCTCTTTAGATTTGAAACTCTAGAAAATAAACTAAATATATTTTTCAAGCTTCATAAAAATCTTGAATTTACTATAAGTAAATATTTTATATTAAGACAGATATATAAGCTAATAGAATCTATTCTTTCAAATATATAATCTTTCTTATCAATTATATATATTTGTAATATTGTTTTCAAATGTATTAAAAATTTTTTTAATTTTATTGAAAAATTTTATCTATCTTAGTTTGATCTTATATTTTTTATTATATCAAAAATTCTGATTAATGATTGGTTGAAATCTTGGATTGGTTAATCAATATATAAAAGAAATATAATAAAATATATATTTCTACTGTTATACTTGATCTTCGCTTAATATTTTTTCTTACCCTTGTGACAATCTACTAGCATTTAGCCCCTAAAATATATTCTTCTTGTTTTAGAATTTCTATACTATAGATCTACTATAGTATCTTCACCTACTTTGCCTATTTAACCATCTCTTCCTATTCTGAAATATTCTTTAATTTTACTTACTACAGAGGGTACTCAAAAATCATTGGACAAACTTTAAAAATTTATATCCAGCTGTATATATATAATTAAAAAAAAATTTTTTTATACAATAATTACTGAAATATCAAAAAAAAAACTCTTTCCCGCGCACAACAGATTTCTTAAAAATTTCCTTTTTTGGAAATTCACAGAACGAAAGTCAAGGAAAGATGTCAAACCCCAACAGAAGCTCTAAAGCTTCCAGTATCGCTCCCCCACATCCGAACGCACTCTAAGATATGAAAGAAGAGCAGGCAAAGACCTAGGCATCCCTAGAACACAACCATATGCAAAGAAGCCCATTCCCGTAGTAACAAAGAAACCCACACCACAACCGACAAACACAACCACCCAAAGCAACCAACAAACCACAAATAAAACCCCCATCACCATACATCCAGAATTATCACAAGAGAACCAACAACAGCAACAACCAAGCAAGGAACATTACACACAACAGAGCCAGGACTCCTTAACATCATCCTCCTCTTGGAGCGACCTCGTGGAAACACACCTTGCAACAACCAACGAAACAGGCAAACAAGACGAGAACCAAGAGACTAGTACAGCTAACAACAACTTCGGGATAACCAGAGCCGATGACACAGACAAGGAAATGGACACCGAAGAAAGAGAAACCCCCGAACTCAACTGGTTTTCAACGCTCAAAGGCAAAGGCAGAGAAACCACTAACCCCCAAGGCAGACCTAGACCAAGATCCCCATTCGACAGAACAACAAGATACGGCCGGGAACGCTACAAGGTTGGCATCCCAGCAAATCTAGTCAAAGGGAAAACTATACACCAAAAATTAGAACACATTATCCTTGCCCTTAACTCGCCTGAAGGATTGCTTACTGTGCGCAGCGAAGGAAAAAAAGAGAATATGAACATCATTGCCATTTTCGCAGACCAACATGCAGCAGATCATGCCACAACCATAGAACTCCCCGATATGGATAACAACACACTCTCACACATGGAAATTGGACGCCAAGACATTAATAAGGAAAACTCCATCGTAGTCTGGGACATACCCCTGAACACAAAACTAATTGAAGTGAAACAGGCCTTTTCCAAATATGGCCAAATTCAAGGAATCACTATG